CAACCAGCCACATCAGTTAATGGGTAGGCAGAAAGGAGCACTATTCCCATCAACAGGGGAGCTAACGTGGTCTGCCTCTTCCCTGCGTGTTGTACTTTATGGGCTGGAATAATAGTGTGTGGAGAGAATAGGTGCCTGGTGAGATGGCGGGTTGTGTGGGAGAGCTGCAGACAAAAAGGGGTTAGCTCGCGGTGGTTCTGGGCCAATAGCTGACCTCTTGGGACACATAAAGGTTGCATCATACCATGCTTCCCCCCCAAGGCTGAATGGGCAGAAAAGGCTGTGTGCAACTCAACACAATTTTGCACTCACCCAAAAACATTTTCTGGGTGTGCTGACAGTAAATACTGTGTTGTATTTACTGTCATGGTAGTTAATATTCCTTCTTTCTGACCTGGAATGTTGACACTTTTTTGTGTTTATATATGTTATTTATGTTTGGTTTTTTTAAATAAAAAAAGTTTAAGTATTGAACGATGCTTGATAATCACAGTTATTGAGACAAAATTAAATATTGTTAACACAATATATTTTATGTGAAAGATTTTGTTTTGTTGTGGCCAGAGAGACTAACGAAATATGATTTGGACATTAAAAATGACAAATTTGATTATGTACTGATCATTTCATGTTTTAGAATGCAGTAGTATTCAATTTATTTTATTTGGGAATTATGAACATTTAGATCTTACGTGATCTTAGGTGCTTTTTCAAAGATCTTATACATTTTACAATTTACTATATGATACTTGATGCTTGAGATTTATTCTGCTCGAATTACAACTGCGACACTGTGTCCAAAGATGACACATTATACGGTCTCTTATACAGACTATGGAAACATGTAGCACAAAACTTAAACTTCAACAATCAAAATTATGTTATGCATATTCAAATGTTGTATGTAACATATACTTTTTTTATGCATTAATAGCCCTTGAGTTGTATTTGTAGAACGTTCCATATATCTACTCCTTTGACTGGTTAACACCTCTTCTTAGTGTTACTCTTCATCATGGGTTTCAGTTCCTCTGAGGTTGTACCTACAGTCTCTGATTTGAAACATCTCTTGTAAACAGTGATGAAGAATGAGATTGTGAGCCTTGTACATCACAACTGCTGTGTAAACAACACAGTCATTTGAAGGTATTTAGTCTAATAAACAGTGGATTTGTTGGAGCAAGGTATTCTGCATGGCTGATCACTCTAATGGCCTTCTTTTGTAATACGATTATATTAGTTTTAGAGGTATTCCCCCATAATTCCACAACTAAGTTAAAATATGGAACGATGGAGGAATTGTAAAGTATATATAATGCATTTTGATTCACAGAGGTTTTCATTATACACAGTAAGGCAATTAGTTTAGTTTAATTTATATCATAATCAATATTGATTCCCAAAAACGTTGTTACATCACCCTGTCGATGTACCTCCCCTTCCCTGTGCATTTCCTTGTTTCCAAATACAATGTATTTAGTTTTTAAAAGATTTATGGACAGTTTTAGCTAAGTCAAAACATTTGTTTTAGTATCTTGAGTTCAGTTCCTTCTGTATTTAAAAGCAGCTCAAGATCTCATTCATTGCAAAGAACCTACTTTCACTTGAGAAATCTGAATCAGCTAAACCAATTTATGGGTAGTGCTTTTGTTTTAAAAGGCAGGAAAGGTGCAGCATTACATGTTTGTTTTAGAAGTTCCTGATTTTAGCAAGTCTGTTTTTGATGAGGGACAATGTTGTAACATGGTTCAAAGTTGCAAAAAGTAGATTTAGCATTAATAATGCTTTAAGAGAGATTATTATGACAGCATAATAAAGTGCTACAGGTGTCTAAACCACAAAATCACCTTAAATAAGCAAGTGTGTATTCCTTTTATTTTTATTTTTTTACCATTTTGAATATAGTTTTGCGTATACAAAACCATAAGTCTTTACAAGAGATGATTTGCATTTCTGGAGAACCTTTCTACAACATTGCAATGCTTTGACAGATATTCCTGACCACAAACAAGATACTAAATAAAGTTGACCATTAGACGGACCATGTTACCATTCAAATGATCACCGTATTTTATTTTATTTAATCCAAGGAAGCAATTGTCACATTTGACAGGTATGGCTATATCGTATTTTGACCATTGGCTAATACAGGGTTGTCCAAACAGCCATTTGTCTTTTTCCAGGCTCCAGTTGATGATGTTGTAGCATGGTCGTATCTTTCCTGAGTGGAAGTACAAGAGTATTAATCTCATGTATCTGTTAGTACACAGGAAGCGCTAAAATAAATGGAGCTCTTGCTGCTTTTCCTCCCTTTTATTGACTGTTGGAAGGAGGCGGTGAGTAAATAGCATTAAGCTACAGGCTAAAGTCCAGTCGGTGTGCTTGGCTGCACAGCTACCAGCGCATCACGTGTTGTCCTGAATCAAGCCACTGGTCAGGGCTTGGAATGCACACTATGGTTTGCATATAATTGTGTGCTTAAAGAAGGACTACAATGCTATTTAAATATATGGAATCTATGTAATGATAGAGACATAAAAAAATGACTAGAAATACAATCATGAGAGTTACTTGATTTTTTATTTCATTTAATTAATTACCTGATTTTCTTGTTGTTGTAAAAAATCCTTGCTTCTTATTGACCTTTTTGTAAGATAATAGTGAACTAAAGTGTGACATTAACGCCTCAAATAAAGATTAACTGGAAAGGAGTTATAATTTGTCCGCCTCTGTCACAACTTTACATCAGGTTTTTCAGACAGAAATGGGAAAAAAAGGATGGCCACTCATAAGTCAATCAGCTTTTGACCCAGACTCAAAGGACTTTTTCTTTCAATAATACACAATATAAAGATTTTGTTATGCTGGAAAGATAAATAATCATTTTTTTCTTTATTTTACTTTTACAAGACATGGTCGAAACACCATCTATTATTCAATATGTTGACGTTTGTTTCCACAGTCTTGAACCAAAACACCAGGATTACCCCCATTACTTATTCATAATGCTAAGTATGAGTGAAAACCAGGGAGTCAAATTTTCACCATTTATTTCCATAAAAATTAATCTTTGTATTTGAGGTGTTTGCCATACATATAATACTCCTAATCCATATAGTGTGCGATGCATTTTGTTTATGGAACGGTCTCAAATCATAGAGAAAAATATTCCGCTTACAGTGCCAGAACAGTTCTTCAAAAAAGCTTGTGTTTGTACATCGTTGTCAGGCCAATGCCTTTGAGTTTTACTCTCGTCATAAATAAAACACACAATTGTATTTGGAAACATGCTGCATCATTCAAACAAGTCGCTGATGCAATACAGTCCGCAAAGAGCATTCCTCTGGTGTGAGTGGGTGTGGAGGTGGAGGAGCAAAGAGCCAAAATGGAGTCATCCTTCACCCATGTCAGTCTGATTACCCAAAACTAGGTCAACAGTGGAGGAAATACGACATGGGCCTGTCCACACTCATATTTGCAATACATTTCATAACCATAACCAGAAGGAGAGAAAGATTAAGAAGTCATTTTTACTGCCATCGTCTAAATATAAACTCAGAGCCGTCTGTTTTCGAAGACGCAGCTTCTGAAACAGCATAAGAGGAAGATATTCTTATCCCAAACATGGCGATTGCAACACTTCAATATTACACTGTTTTGAAGAGCAGGGGTTTGGCCTTGATCAGAAGCAAGGCTATAAACATTTCACAGCCTTTTCAAAAACGTAGCTTCTGTCACCCCGCACACGATAAAGTAATTGCTTAAAAACGTCCCCTGTAAGCTCACCTTTCTAATAGGTGTTGAATTTGCACTAAGATTGTCAAAAGTGCTGAATCCTTTTTATGTTTTCCTCCCAAAACTTAGGGGTCACCTTGGGTTGAAAGCAGAAAACAAAGGGAGACAAGAGTTGCTTCTCATCCAGAACAGTGTACCTTCAGGTTGTGGCGGCACCTTGCAAACGCTGAATACATTAGAAATTTAGGGTAGTGGGGTGGGAGGGGGGAGTGTAAATTTAGTCATATCAGCTAATCCTGCACCCAGCGCTTGCTTCCACTTCTTCATCAAAAGTAATAACTGTGAAGGCAAAAGGAAAATGCTGAGCACATCCCCACCAATAAAACTCCCACATGAAACTTGAACACTTTCTAAAAGCTGTTAAAGTAACCACCCAAGAGGAAAGACTGGCTTCCTGAACCCACTGCAAGCTCTTTAAACTGGCTTTGGGTGTAAGGATTGCTAATGCTAATACCTTGCGATGAATAAATGTTTTAATGAACTAATGTGTTTAGCTTGAAGCCCACAAAAATTAAAGTATAACAGCAATGAGGTGACTGTTATGAGATTAAGGCATGTAGTAATTCAGTAGATAATTGGCTCCGAGAATATTGATGGTTATTCACATTTCCTGCATAAATCAAAGCTTGTGTAATGGTAACAAGGCCAATTTGACCAGTAAACGTTGACTCAATGGTGTAAATGGTCTGGAACGTTTTATGACCTATAGAAAAGTGTCAACCAGTGCTTGTGCGACCGATTGAAAGCAGAGGCTACACACAGCACTGGAGCGATGACAACTCCCTCAAGTACAATACAGACTTCTACTTCAGATTAGCATTTTGATGTATGCTGAAGGCAAATTACTAACCTTTCCCAACACACTTAACTTTCAACTGGCACTCAGTGATCATAATTCAAAAACGGAAATTGTCACGTACAGGAGTGGAGGCTTTGTTAAGTGCTAGAAGACGAACTGGAAGACTTAGATATTTTTCAGTATGATTAGATTTTTAACACAACATGCTGAGTCGTTTTATCATTTTGCCTAGCTTTGCCAAATCTCCGTGCAATCTGAAAAGCCAATAAACACAACAGATAGACAATTTTGTACACTGAATTCACTGAAAGTGTATCTTTTCCTGAGGGAAACCTGTGCATTTTTAAGACGTTTAAATCAATATTCACCACTTGACATAAAAAGCTCTGGAGCCAGCCGTTCTTACCTTCGGTGCAGTATCGACCTACATATCCAGTTTTGGAGCAGTCACAGTACGTTTCTCCATCTGCCAGGGAGCAGATTCCACCGTTCTCGCAGGGGTTGTCTGTGCATAGCCCCATCATCTCCAGACGCACCTTCTGACTATTTATGAGCCTGGGTAGCTTACTTCCGTAACTCATATCGCTGATAATTCCCTTAAAAGGCGGAAGCTCACGGACAGAGGGCAAGGTGATGGCCGACGTGCGTATGTCCCCCGGTAAACCTCCGATAAACAGATCGCTGACAATCTTCATGAACTGCCTTTGGGGGCGCACCTCCTGAGTTTTGGTTTGACCGTCTATGGCCAAACCAGTCCGCAAGTTGTGCCGATTAATCGCAGCGAAATGCCAACGACTGTCATTGACCATTTTGTCTGAGGTGATGGTAGTTTCGGCACAATCAATGCTGTACTGTAGCTGCATTTTCCCTTGGTTTAACGTGAGCAGGAGGAAGTCGCAGTATCCGCCATCGTCAAAGTAGATGATCAGGCCGTTTGATTGGGATGTCTTGAACTGGAAGGTGAGGTCACTTCGGGAGCTAGCATCCCAGCGGAGGTAGCGAGCCCACTGGCCTTCAGAGCCGGTAAACTCCAACGCCGCGGTAAAGCCCAACATTATACTCAACAGCAGAAGAGCAGACCGAGGTAGGCCGTTGGGATTCATGGTAGATAAGTAGAGGATGTGCCCAAAGAGTTAGAAAGATCCCTGGAGCAATAATAACATTGGATTTTGGCAGTTGTGTGCCGCGGTTTATCTTATATTCCACATAGATAATTTCACAGTCAAGCGGCAAACGCAATATCCTTCTTTTATCTTTGAGGCAGATCTAATGTTGATAATGGATTTTAATCTTCTTATCCAAGCCTAAGCAGGACCATATGAGAAAATATCCAATTTGCACATGGGCTCTGCAGACAGGTATAAAAAAAATAAAAAGTTATTAGTGATTAGGGACACTGTGGACTTTCTCTTTGCGGCGACTTCCAGGGTTGAAGCCTTGGAGGATTGTTCCACTTCTGTGCCCCATGGTGTAGCCTTCAGTCGTAGAAAGCAGGTTGGATGCGGCTACAAAACAAGACAGAGAACATGCATATTTTATTAAGGAGCAATGAATGGTATCAAAGTCAGTTGCCATGACATAACCTTGTAAAATAATAAACTAGAAGTAAGCTCAGTAGGACACACCATTCATGTATACACACTGAATTATGCAACATGACACCCTGTAAAAGAACCATGTCTTTCAGAGATTTGTTGAGTTTTGAAAATATGTTATTTACTGGGATAAGGACAACATAGGTCAAGATACTGTAGCTGGTCTAAATGTTCTGAAAATGGCTATTAGAAAGACAATTAAAAGAGCAAAATCCCATCGCTTGTGTGGCCGAAAGATAAAGTGGTAATTATGTTATCATTATGACTTTTTAATTGGGTCCATTTCCAGCAATTTCCAAGTGCCATCTACCCAGATTAACTTATCTTCTACACATGCGTTAACAGGCTATAATCCACAGGCAGGCACATACAATTCTGCAATAAAACAGTAAAAAGGTACAATTTAGTTTAGGCCGCGTCAATTATTATGTTTACTATTTGCAATGTTAATGTTTATTTATTTTTTTGTCCTCTAGAAACAACAGTATGTGCATTTTAGTATTTTGATTTCAACGACAATCCAATCAGAAAGCAGAAGAAGAGTCTCACACATTCATTTCGGGCTGCCATTTTCAAAGGCTTTCACATGTGACGATTCCCATATACTAATTATGTTAAACAGTAGAAGAGCACAGGCTACTTATGTCCCCTTTAATTGTTCACAGAGGTGAGTCAGAGCATGTGTTTTATCCTCAGACATGAGCCTGCTGGGATTCTGATAAATACGTCTAATTATCAGCTACTCTAACTCTTACTAATTTGCATTTCTTTGGGGGACTACAATCACAAATACTTTTTTCAGAAAGACGCAAGGATGCCACTTCATTTATTCACTTCATTTTTCACCAATTTGCATTTCTCTCTCCTTTCTCTCGAGCTGAATACACAATCATTTTCACACAACTCGCCCAAATGACACGGCAAATTCCAAATCACCCACGAGCCGTCCCATTTACTTCCATACAAATTACTCAGGGATGATTTAATAGGGAACTGAATATTTGTGTCTACTCTAACGGCTCTTTACCCTTGTGATTGTTTGGGCAGGAAGCAGTCCAGCAGAGAAACACATTGTCCAGTTGTGACAGTAGCTTGGACCCATGCAACACAATAGTCCCTTTAACTACCTACCCTGAATAGTTAATCTTGCCGGAGCATGCAAGCTATTGAATTCTAGTAACTGATACCTATGCTAATGTCTTTGTCTGTGTCCAGGCGAGGGTGGCTGTGTGCCTTACTGACAGTGCCGAAGGCTTTATTTTAAAGCGGGTATAACAGCTTTAGACCATGTTAAAGTTGTTTTTCTCTTTGCTCCCCACCAACTCCTCTGACCACTGCGACACGCCTACTGTTTGAATGTCTGAATCTGAACCTTTGATACGTGGGTTATTTTAGCTGGAAGGAAAAACATATCCGCTGTTTGTTGTCTTGTCCTGCTGTGGAGATGGGCACGGACTGTAGATAGATAGACAATGCCATATAGGAGCCTAATAGGGAAGATATCATGGGTTGAAAAGTAAACTATTCTATTATTTACCGTTTGTGTCACACTTATTATTTTGCGCAAAAAAAATGTAGCTTAATATTCTGTATGATCCTGGTCTTTGTATTTAGATAAAGTCTTTGTAAATCCAGTTATGAGCCCTAATATCTGACTGATCAGATAATACTGAATTTGGCTTTACCACAAGCGGGAAAAGAGGGGTGTCACTCTTGATTGGCGTTTTAGTTGCTGTACTGTATCTACTTCGGCCGTTTAGCTCCAGATTTTCTCTCATAAAGGCTGTTTGAGCTTTGGGCGTCTTTGGTCATAAGGCAAACAATATATTGGGTAACGTCCACTTATTCTGTGATGGGACTGCAATTCATTGATACCACATGAAGAGGCAGAGTGCAGATCCATCCATTATTCAGCCATTATCATAAGTCAGGGGTGGAAATACTAAAATTTCATTCACATGAAGTTAAAGGTAGAACTACTCACAATTCATAAATAAAATATGAGTTCACAAAAATAATAACATGGAAATAAATTACATGAAGATACAGGACGAGGCACAACGTTAAGAAGACCATAAATGTACACAAGCTGACTTCTCTGGGAGTTCTAGTGCTGAGGTTGTGTGTTCAAGACATAATAAAAGTTCCAGTCGTCAATCCAGCCCGCTTGCTCGCTCGATATTCAGCGTGTGTGTTGTGCACAAAGCAGAGCGGCGTGTGCCCGTGAAACTAGAGATGCCAGTCTGCTTTCACAATTGGCTCTGGCTTCTATTCAATTAACATGAGTTATTGTGTGCACGGCTGGAGTAAGGCATCAGGTGTCCCGCCAAGACATAGATTTGACAGAAGGCTCACGCTGCAAACAAGGCCTCTTTTCACTCACTAAAACCTTTTGTCAGCGTACAAATTAACCTTTAAATGACATTTTCATGAGCGCTGGTCATGATTCACCTTTTGTTCAATTAGTTGACGTGTTTTCATTATTTTACTGTAGACCTGAAGAACAAGTCGTTCCTGAAGTCCACAGAAATGTGCTCCGATTATTATTAGACACATTTGTAACAAGGACAAATCAGAAATTTCCATCAACTAAAGCGTTATTGCATAATACAGTACATCCATGCATTTTCTACCTCTTTATTCACTGTTGGATCTCCGACGCAGCAGTCTAAGAATGCCCAGACTTCATAATATAATATAATATAATCTTTACAATTGTCAATTATTGAAATAGTTTAATGTTTTTTGTGTGTAAATCTCACATAGACTTACAGTAAATACACTGAGAAGAACTGTTATGGCTCAGATTTGATGAAGTGTTTAATGTCTTCAAATTTGAATTAAAATGTGTGTGCAAAGTATTTTCTTTTGAGCCTTGTTTTGGTCAAATTTAATTATTTATAAAATCCCATATATTCATTGACTTTTAATGATCTTAAACAAAGGTAAATCTAATGAATAATCAGTGAAATAATTGATTACCAAAATTAAATGCAGCACTAATCAATATATTCAAGATCATTAAGAGATATTTGATGGAAAATACTTGCTGTATTGCACATATATCTTTAAAAATAACAAAAGTACCTGTTATAATGGCCTTCAACAACCTTGGCTTTTAATTATAGCTGTGGCTTGGGTGAAATCCTTAATCAAGCTACAGTATACACTGAACTTTCCCCATGATTCATTGGCTTTTCCATGACATGTCTTTCCCATTAGCAGGTGTCCATAAAGAATGATGCCAACACTGCACCTGCTAGCTACACTGCAGGCTAAGCTAATTAAGGCTAATGTGGTGACAAGTCCAATTTCACAGGGAAATATTTCACTGACACCGCTGTCATAAGAGATACCCTTCAGCCCGCCCCGGTCCTGACAGCTCATCAGACCCTGTCCAGAAACCTGTCCCTAAGTGCATGTTAAATATACTGTATAGGACATATATGTGTTTTTGGCTTCAGTTACTTTTAAAGTAACATATAGAAACTGCATGAGAAAAGGTTATTTCCATTGCTGTATGTAATCATAACATTAGAATTCCATAATATATGGTATGCTGGAATAGGATAAAAATTCAACATTCATCAAGACCAGATCAACAATATTCGTGGTTATGGACAAAACAGTCAAACAGACATTTTTACATATCATCACAGACATAGATATACTGTTGCACCACTGTGTTTCCCAAGCAGTGGTACGGGTACCCCTGAGGCACTTGGCAGGTGGTGCTTGAATTAACTTCAGATTAAAGACAGGGAAGTAAATCCCCAAATCAAATTAGACCAAAATACTGTAAGCCAAGAAAAATACATAAAGGTGGTTCATACTGGAGTTTTAATTGTAATCAAATACATTTTCATTTTGAAAACATTCACAATCCTTTTTTGACATATAAACTTGTAAGTGTTCTTGTTATTTCTGGCAAGGCGTTTGTTTTGTTTTGTCTTCTTGTCCATCAAAATTTGGCTTTCTGTTACAATGTCATAAGCCCTTGTTCTCAATTTTTCCGGAATAGACACATTGAATTATTAAACCTCACAGGATATGAGATAACCTGAGCGCATTACGTCGCCGACCAGCCATAAATGATGCATCGAAGCATGAGGTTAGGGCCGTGCAGATTTATTGACATGTTTTGTAATATAGTCTGGTCCCCTGCATGCACCAGGAGCCCTCCTCAGTCCCCCGCTGCTCTGCCTGTCCGTCAGGGGCCTTCAGCCTGGAGGACTGATTTCATACGACACCAGTCACAGCATCACGGCCCTGCTCTGTGAGGCAGGCTGTGCGCTTGTACTGCGGTGACTGTGGGGTCATGAAGAGGCGCAGATCCCAAGGGGGGAAGCAGAGACAGCCTCGCCAAGACCGGGTAGAGGCTATAATGTGACTTTTCACTTGAAGACTATTCAATACGTGCTTGAGTCAATTTTTTTTCCATTGGCTTGACTCCCTCTATGTCACCTTCTACAATAAGGCTGTAAATAATATATTGAATCGTAATGGTCAGACAAAATATGAAGGATCAGTACAGCCAGGTATTGCAGTACTTTTGACAACAATTCATTTCAGTTTGTTTTCTGGAACTGGCAGGAGTAGTCTGGCTCTTTTACAGAAACAAAACAGACCCCCATTATAATGCAATATCCTGACTTTTATGAAGATTTGTGAAAAAGGATGATGCAAGTTCAACAATAAATATTATACCCTCTCTTGAATACACTAGTTGATGGTCCAGTGGTTTTATGTATTCACTTTTGGACTTGGTATTTCCTGTGATGGTCCACAGCACTATTGAGGTCCAAATTGTTTTATTAACAGACCACAGATGTGACGTTTCATGCAAGTTCATCAGAGACAATGAAGGCCCACTCCTGTCTACATTTTCCAGTCCCGGAAAGAAAACACTTGGAAGACTATGATAATTTACTACTTGGAGGAAGGTTCAGGTTATGGTCAATTTTTGTTAAGAAGTAATCATAATGTCTTTACTGTTCTAAGCCAATGCAATATCCACAAGAAACATAAACTCACTATACAAGATGATAACATATGGAAAACAATGGTATGTAAAGTATGTATGTAGTAGCTCATACCAAACACTGTATGAGCCTATGGTATGTAAAATGGAATGCTTGAATAAGGAAATGTGTGTTACAGTTGATTGCCATTTTACATCAATATTGTTCTAATGTATGAAGTGGGAAAAATCATCAGGCAAAAGACATAGCTACACCAATGTAATGGGATCATGTTACAATGGATGAAACATGTGATCAAACTGCCCTCTTCTTTACACACAGCCTACTTGTTCACATGTGCCATATAATGGACTTTAAGGAGAGGTACTAGAACACTGAGGATCTACACTGGTCACTGAATGACACGTTCATTTGTCTTAATTACGAACGACAAGCCAAAGAGTATGTTCAATGGCAGGATTTGTTAATTAATGTATAGTTATTTCTTGAACAACGTTACACCACTGCCTAATGTCCATTTCATGATAATGCTTTGCGATTTTTCTATAATGTCACTGTATCATTGATGGCCTGATAGTACTACCCACACGCAGTTTAACTTGGCGTGTGAAACTATTAGTCTACGTGAACTGAGGCAAAACAGAAACACGATCCCACAGTCAAGCCCAGATGACTGAAACAGAAGTGTAATTTTGAGCTCTTTCCCGCACGGTGGCGCTCTCGTGTGTGCGTCTGTGCCCTTCACGTTCACATCTCCCTGGATTAAACAAAATTATACTCTCAACGCCCCTGAATGAATCCAAATGACCACATCGTGCAAACAGCTCAGCGCGCATCCACTTGAGAGAGAGACGAACTGAATTTTGCACGGAGGATGTTGAGCGCTCTATCCCCACTATAAGCGATGCAGTGAACTGAAACTTTACAAATGAACGCTCTTTAAAGTAAATGTCACTTGGATAAATCTGGGCTATATCCCCGCAACTATCTACATGTTGTATCTTCGTCTTATGCATGGCTGTCGTGCGCGTAAAATAAAGCTTTGGTATAACACACATCCAACCCGCTTCTTTACGCGCGCCTTAATCCGTGTATCGCTGGATAAAGTCATTTCTGAAAGTCAACCCAATGCATTTGCAAATTTATTCAACGCGTTCTACTTTATAACTGCGTGTGAAGTGCTGCTGAGGACGATGAGATTGTCTTACCTTTACGCGCGGCTTGAAATCCCACAACACAAATTGAGAAATGGGTAAAAATCCCCGGAGCGCCTTGCCATCCACAGCGCGTCGAACAGCGCCAGAGTCCGCCCGGGGCTGTGAGAAGCTGCTGGTGATGATGAGGATGTTATTAGCGGTCTTTCCTCCCTGGTCCTTCTCTCCTCGCTTCCTAACCCCGGCTTAGCTCAAGTCAGTGAACGCGCATGGCACACGCGCTCTCTCTCGCTCTCTCTTCCTCCCTCTCTCTCTCTCTCTCTCTCGCTCTCTCTCTCTCTCTCCATCTCATACGGTCAAGCTTATTTTCTATTGCAAAGTGACTATGAACGCTCGGATCATTCGCTCTCGTTTCACTCCTCTACCCACCTCGACATACAGAGTCATTCCACTTTAGGACAAAATAAAAAAACATTGCCCCTCAGGAAATATATTTTTTGTGATAAAAGGTCTCTGTTTGTTGGAAATGGACTCGCTTCTGTCGCGTTTGCTTTTGTAGTATAGTAGGAAAAAACGCGCTTCTTTGCAGTGCACTGTATGGATTATGTATAAAACGTGCGCTGTCCGTGGTACTTATGAGCCAGAAAGAAGTGAATGCGCTGTCCTTGGTTCTCATAACAAAAAGGTGCCCAAGTGAGAATGTATATATTTTTTTATCTGTCTTTGGAATAAATATGTACGATTAAACATACAAGATGTTAAAACAAGTGAAAATACTTGCAACAACAGTTTCTTTCAGGCTATAAATCTAACAAACACACAACCATTCTAAAGCATCTGGATTTGCATATTCCAACTAGATTTTCAACAAGGTGAAAGATAGAGTGTGGTTCTAGGTGGATATGATTGGCTATGGTCAATCAACAAGTTCACAGCCAAACTATCACTTAATCCATCCATCCATTTTCTTCCGCTTCATCCGTTGCCGGGTCGTGGGGGCAGCAGTCTAAGCAGAGTCGTCCAGACTTCCCTATCCACACACACTTCCTCCAGCTCATCCTCCCCCAAGGCGTTTCCAGGCCAGCTGAGAGACATGTATGCCGGTGGGACTTGCCGGACTTGTTTCTATACAAGAAAAAATGAATTGAATCGAATAGCGCCCAGCCATAAGTGCTTTTTACTGCAGAAACCCTAGACAATCACTTATCACATCTTTAAGCTTCCTCACAATGGAAGAAATGGGCCCTGTAGAAAAAGATTGTGAAAACTCTTTTGAATGTTTCAGTGTTGCACCAATGTTGCCTCATAACCAGCGTTTATTTATGCACCGACAGTCTCTATTATAAAACTCCATTGCTGTCTTCTTTCAGGGGATGAGGGAATGCGAAAATGTTTTATAAATAATGATTTAGTCTGAAAGCTTGTTTCATTGTGGTTGAAGGGATGAAGAGAAGTTTGTGGACTGTGGAGGAAGGACTCTTTGGCAACGTTTCAAACTGGCTCTAGTGCTTTGAGAAGCAGCTGGAGGCGTTCGGAGGACTTGGAGGACTCAGGCAGGAGTGAAGGGAGATAAGTGGGAAAGGATCCGTGACCTCTTCTTGTACGGAGACAAACAGATGGAACTAGCAACAAATCATTTAGATTCCAAAATCCTTGTCAAAGTTGCAATAAAAGTCTGCCTCTGTGAACACAGATTTTGGTTATTTTTTCTGCCAAGAATAAAATACTCATGGGCAATGTAACTGTATTATAGTCTCCTCAAAAATAAATCCATTCAAAACATTAGGCTGTATATTTTAGACAAAACATATCCTGTCTGTGCTTCTTTCACGATTGGGAATTGTATTGCCATTTTTATATCCATCTAAATAATTTCCCGCGTGTATAGAAAAGTTTGTTTAGCAGAAATAAGTTATTTTCTGCTAAAGATCAGATAACCTAATCCAAATTGTACAGCGAAAACAAAAAATAACGAATTGTTTTGAAGATTATTAATATTTTTACACAAAGATTTATTATTAAAGAAAAGTATGATAAAAGTGCATTGTGTATGTCGATCCACAATAAGACAAGCAAGTGACTATGAATTATACATGCAGAGAGACACTCAAAGTAAAAGATTTTGTAAACACTTTTTTTGAGCAGTACAAATATTTTTACATAGATAATGTAATTATAGATACTTATAATGACCTAAGTATACCTTTTGTAAATCATAATGCATCTTTACAATAGATGGTTTCATGAGCTATATCACAGGTGTGGGCAGGTCTCAACTGGAAGCAGAAAACATCAACTTAAGAGCAGCAGGACAGTGGAGAATTCAATGGTTTTATAAAGTCCTCCTAGACTACTGTTGTGATTCAAGACTACACAAGAATATATTGAATTGAATTGAAATGAACAACCTATTGCACCATTTTACCTGCGATATAATGCAAGCTTTGACAAATGCAGCCAGCGTAAGTTCAATTTGGTAGACGTCAGCCAAAGGTAACCCCTCCAGGCCGGTTCTCATCCCCAGCCTATCGCACGGCAAACGCCCCCTTCCAATCACCGGTCCAGCCAGGCAAGCTGCTTAAAAGCGGAGGAACTCCCATTCTCGGCCTCTTGAAGCTGCAGCAAAGAGCGAAGCCTTGCAAAGAGTCGTTCTGGAGGAATCGCTTTGTTCTACTCTCACTTACTTCGTGCGTGTCCCTGCTGTCCTCTGTCCTGCTGCGTGTCGTCTGCTCCTCCTCCACGTCGCTGCACCTGCTGCGGGTCTCGTGCTGTGGTCCGTGGGTCTTTGCCGCTCTCCTCCTTTGCGGGCTCTTTCTGCGGGTTCGCCGCTGCTCGTCTCGTCGCGGCCTGCTGCTGCATACGGCCGGTCTGGACCGGTGCGGTGGGAGCCGTGCGCATCCCTGCCTCCTCGTGCCATACGGTGTGGTCCCGTCGTGTTGTCCCTTATCTTCTGGCGTTGCGGGTAAGTATGAGATCTGCGGACGGTTTATTCCCCTCGCATTGTCCTACAGGCTCAGTTGGCCCCGCGCTTGTAATGCAGGCTCAGTTGGCCCCGTGCATTGGTGGGCAAGCATCAGTTTAAAGCCCTCACATTGGTCTGCAGGCTCTCTTAACCAAGCTCCGTTTAAATCCTTCACTCTGACTGCAAGCTCCGTTTAATCCCTCAAATTGGACTGCGAGCTCTCAGTTTAATCCCTCACGGAACTGCTTATATCTGGAACTGCTTACGTATTGTGGAACTGCTTACGTATTGTGGAACTGCTTACGTATTATGGAACTGCTTATGTAGTACGGAACTGCTTATGTATTACGGAACTGCTTATGTATTATGGAACTGCTTTTATGGAACTGCTCATATTGGGACTGCTCATACCTGGAACTGATTATATGGTACTGCTTATACCTGGAACCGCTTATACAGTGCATGGAACTGCATATATTGGTTCTGCTTATATCTGGACCTGCTTATATATGGATCTGCTTATATACGGAACTGCTTATACATGGATCTGCTAATATATGGAACTGCCAATATATGGAACTGCTAATATATGGAACTGCTAATATATGGATCTGCTAATATATGGAACTGCTTATATATGGATCTGCTAATATATGGAACTGCTAATATATGGAACTGCTAATATATGGAACTGCTAATATATGGAACTGCTAATATATGGAACTGCTAATATATGGAACTGCTAATATATGGAACTGCTAATATATGGATCTGCTAATATATGGATCTGCTAATATATGGAACTGCTAATATATGGAACTGCTAATATATGGAACTGCTAATATATGGAACTGCTAATATATGGAACTGCTAATATATGGAACTGCTAATATATGGAACTGCTAATATATGGAACTGCTAATATATGGAACTGCTAATATATGGAACTGCTCATATTGGAACTGCTCATATTGGAACTGCTCATATTGGAACTGCTCATATTGGAACTGCTCATATTGGAACTGCTCATATTGGAACTGCTCATATTGGAACTGCTCATATTGGAACTGCTCGTATATGGAACTGCTCGTATATGGAACTGCTCGTATATGGAACTGCTCGTATATGGAACTGCTCGTATATGGAACTGCTTGTATATGGAACTGCTTATATCTGGCTCCGTCTCCTCCCTCAACGACGCTGTCTGCCCGGACGCGGGGTGCCGCTCCGACCTGGCATTCGGGTCCCGTCTGCAGAGCCGCTGGGACGGTGTATCTTTTTTTACAGTGACGTCATCCCGTCCTCAGATGCCCTGCGGTGCTTCACGGACGCAGCCCCGTCCGTGGGTTTTGGGGGTCTCTTCCAGGTCCAGTGGTTCGCCGGGCCCTGGCCCGACGCCTTCCCTCAAAGCATCTCCTCCGCGCTCCCGATAAACCTTCCAATGTCATCCGTCTGTTTCAGAGCCCAACTCAAGTCCGTACTGCTGCTTGTAACCTGTCTCCCCATCTCTACACAGCCCACTCCTTCGGATAGGCGCCGCCACGCGCGCCGCGTCCCTTGGGCTCCCCTATTCCGCCCTCCAGCAGCTGGGCCGCTGGTCATCATCGGCCCTCTCCTCATACATCAGGCCTGACACTTCGACCATCCTGGCAGCCCAGCGCCTCTTTGCATCTCCATAAAACACTTGCAAACTTCCTGGTGGCGGCAGCAGCTGAGGATCCGCAAGCATGGTCGCAGCAGCTGAGTATCCGCAAGCATGGTCGCAGCAGCTGAGTATCCGCAAGCATGGTCGCAGCAGCTGAGTATCCGCAAGCATGGTCGCAGCAGCTGAGTATCCGCAAGCATGGTCGCAGCAGCTGAGTATCCGCAAGCATGGTCGCAGCAGCTGAGTATCCGCAAGCAATGGTCGCAGCAGCTGAGTATCCGCAAGCAATGGTCGCCCGCAGAGACTGTTCGGCAGAGACTGTTCGGCAGAGACTGTTCGGCAGAGACTGTTCGGCAGAGACTGTTCGGCAGAGACTGTTCGGCAGAGACTGTTCGGCAGAGACTGTTCGGCAGAGACTGTTCGGCAGAGACTGTTCGGCAGAGACTGTTCGGCAGAGACTGTTCGGCAGAGACTGTTCGGCAGAGACTGTTCGGCAGAGACTGTTCGGCAGAGACTGTTCGGCAGAGACTGTTCGGCAGAGACTGTTCGGCAGAGACTGCTCGGCAGAGACTGCTCGGCAGAGACTGCTCGGCAGAGACTGCTCGGCAGAGACTGCTCGGCAGAGACTGCGCAAGTTGGTCACAATAGATAGCGGTCACATCTGTCCCCTTCAAACCAGGCTGCAAAACTCCATCAACTCACAACCTTTTTGGGGATTGGCATGCTCCATCGCAGAGCCCCTACGATCTGAAGGCCGCACCGGGGCCTAGGGCGCCAAACCTCCTCCCAATAAATACTCAAAAGCTTCTTGTTTCACGTCTCTCCAAATTGAAATGCAGCCAGCGTAAGTTCAATTTGGTAGACGTCAGCCAAAGGTAACCCCTCCAGGCCGGTTCTCATCCCCAGCCTATCGCACGGCAAACGCCCCCTTCCAATCACCGGTCCAGCCAGGCAAGCTGCTTAAAAGCGGAGGAACTCCCATTCTCGGCCTCTTGAAGCGCAGCCACCGCCTCCCCTCCTCCTCCTCTTCACCCTGCTTCATCCTGCCTTCAATCTGCTTCCCGCTGCCAAATGCCGCCACCAGTGCCTAGGTCCCGGGGGATTGGCATGCTCCATCGCAGAGCCCCTACGATCTGAAGGCCGCACCGGGGCCTAGGGCGCCAAACCTCCTCCCAATAAATACTCAAAAGCTTCTTGTTTCACGTCTCTCCAAATTGAAATACAGTATGTATGTCACTACATTACATTACATTTGAATACCTGTCTGTACTCAAGAAAAATGTGTTTGCATATATGTCTCTCCAAGCCTATTTTTAAGGGAAGCTTTGATCAGTTCAAAGGCACTTTAGTTTGCACTTTCCCGGACTTACAATATATGTCAGATTGACAGGTAATATATTTGTACAGGATAAAAACACAATGCAAACATTCAACTTGTCTAACTTGTCCTCCAAACAGTGATACAAACATGACATTATAATTATTATAATACAGTTCTTCACCGTAGAAGTAGAATGCTCAATTGATTAAAATGAAATTTCAATACGCTCTACCAGTAATTATTTCTTGATAGCAGTCCTTTGAAACCAATAATGACTGCTGACCATGACAACGTAATTTGGGTTTATAATTCACGTGTCAAATCACTCCGCAAGTAGTCCAGCCACTTCGTCAACCAGCTTTCAGTACACTACTTCTGGGGGAATTGCTCGTGAGGTTAACGAAAGTCCAACTTTCAACTTACACCACCATTTCTCCAACTGCAACTTCAGCAGAAACCTCCAGTTTAATTTTGTGTAAGTTCTCAGTCGTACAGTTTAATGGAGCTTAAGCGGAGGTTCAGTATGGTAGACTACCTACGTTATCACACCAGGCTTGACCACGCCTTACTCAGCCTGTCTTAATCAACTCCCCGCAGCCGTGTCAATCAAGCCAGCGTTTAAGAGCAAAGCAGAGCACAGCTCACCAAACGGACTTCAAGCTGCAATGGGTTGCTCTTCGTCACTTTGTTTACTCACGCTTCGCACATTGTTCGTCCTGCATGGTCGCGGCTCCTCTTCAACATCACATGTTTGGGGCTGCGCGCCATGGTCGTTGTGTCTCCACCGCGGCTCACCGCGGGTCCTCTCCTGCGGACTCGCTGCCGCTCGTCTTCCCGTGGCCGCTGCGCTCGCGGCCAGGCTCCGCGCACCCTGCCGCTTCCATACCGGGAACGGGACTTCTGTCTGCCTGCCGTTGTCTGCTGCCTCTGTCCACCCTTCTCCCTGCCTCCACTCACGGTACAGTGTCTGTTTCGTCGTTTTCCCCACTACCATGAACTGTCCCAAACTGCGGCGTGTCAGTTAATCCCGCCGAATTGGCTCGCAGGCTGTGTTTTTACCCGATGCTTTGCTCTGCAGGCTGTTCGTTTACCATCCGCATTGGCATTTAGACCGACCGTTTTCACCATGGACCGCACATTTTAACCACTGTATTGGCCTTCTGGCTGTCCGTTTTACTCATGGGATGAACATTCTACACAATGCAGTGACCTCCAGGCTGTCCGTTTGACTATGGTCTGAACATTTTACCCACGCATTGACCTTTAGGCTGTCAGTTGTAACCATGGACTATAACATTTGTCGTCTGCATTGGCCTTTGCGCTGTCTATTTGACCGTGGACTGTAAGTTTTGCCCACTGCATTGCCTCCCGGCTGTCGTGTCTGATGAGCTGCTCTGATTGGTCGGAGCGCGGCCGAGCCCCTTTGTACTGTTCGTTTTAACCAGTGCGTTGGCCTTCAGGCATGCTTCAACGGCCTCACTTCAACGCTTCATCGCAGCACATGTTGGCGGCCGCACACTTCAACGCCCACACGCTTCGCCGACGCCACTTCGGTGGCCGCACGCTTCGACGACGCTTCGACTCCTCCTCACGCTTCGACTCCTCCTCCACGCTTCGACTCCTCCTCCACGCTTCGACTCCTCCTCCACGCTTCGACTCCTCCTCCACGCTTCGACTCCTCCTCCACGCTTACCTCCTCCACGCTTCGACTCCTCCTCCACGCATCGACTCCGGCTCGCGCACGCATCGACTCCGGCGCACGCATCGACTCCGGCGCACGCATCGACTCCGGCGCACGCATCGACTCCGGCGCACGCATCGACTCGCTCCGGCGCACGCATCGACTCCGGCGCACGCATCGACTCCGGCGCACGCATCAACGAAGGCGCTCGCTTGGGCGGCGCACGCCTTGACGCGGCACGCCTTGACGCCTCAACAACGCCGCACGCTACGCCGCAGCACGCTTTGACGCAGCACGCTTTGACGCAGCACGCTTCAACGATGGCGCACGCTTTGACGCAGCACGCATCAACGATGGCGCACGCATCAACGACGCAGCTCGCTTGGACGCCGCACGCCTTGACGCCGCACGCCTTGACGCCGGCGCACGCCTTGACGCAGCCGCATGCATCAACGACGCCGCTCGCTTGGACGCCGCTCGCTTGGACGCCCCTCGCTTGGACGCCGCTCGCTTGGACGCCGCACGCCTTGTCGCCTCAACAACGCTGCACGCCTTGATGCAGCACGCTTCAACGACGGCGCACGCTTCAACGACGGCGCACGCTTCAACAACGGCGCACGCCTTGAGGCAGCACGCTTTGAGGCAGCACGCTTCAACGACGCCGCACGCTTTGACGCAGCACGCTTCAACGACGCCGCACGCTTTGACACAGCACGCTTCAACGACGCCGCACGCTTTGACGCAGCACGCTTCAACGACGCCGCACGCTTTGACGCAGCACGCTTCAACGACGCCGCACGCTTTGACGCAGCACGCTTCATCGCAGCACACGTCGGTGGCCGCACGCTTCATCGCCGTACGTCGGTCGGCGCACACGCTTCCACGTCGGTGTCCGCCTCCTGCCGCATTCTCGACCTGATGCTTCGACGCATTCGTGTGCTCTCATCCATTCATCGTGGAACCAGTGTCGACCATGGACTCGCGTTCCCTATTGGTGGGGTGAACAATCCAACGCTAGGAGAGTTCTGCTTCACAATGACGGGAAGAGCCGGCATCGAAGGATCAGGTCAGTGGTCTGACTGAAGACGCGGTCTGACTGAAGACGCGGTCTGACTGAAGACGCGGTCTGACTGAAGACGCGGTCTGACACTGCCCGTTGGTCCTTTTCACTCGAGTGATAGTGGTTCGAGGTTTCTCTTTCAGCTTCGCAGGAACGCGATGCCGCAACGCCGCCCCAAAGCTCTGCTACAACGCCGCGACGGTGGCCTGCTGCAACGCTGGCCTGCTAAGACTGCATGAGTACTGTCGGCGTGGCCTTCAAACCTGGCCGGCTATCTTACCCAGGCCGCACTCATTGGCTTTTGGTGTGCAGCACTGCCCGCCACGGTTTGCGTGCACTCTGAGTGGCTGTAGGCGGTGCTCCTTCTCATGTTCCCCAGGCATATTCTCTCCTGGTCTCCTGGTGCGGCTCCTGCCGCCGGGCCTGTCTCACGCTTCGCCTTACCTGACGCACCCTGGCCCTCATTCTGACCGGGCCCTCGTGCGTTGGTTTTTGGGGGTCCAGAGATCTCCTATCGAACATCAATCTTCCTGGGTAAGTGTACTTCATGAATCTCATTTTCACCTTCTAGTCTCCCCAAGTGGAATCATGTTCGAATATCAGCGCTCTAAACACCAGCAGTTCATCCTTCATTCAGCATTCTCCTTTCCCTCTCACTGCACACTCTCAGTCTCTGGACATCAGCATCGCGGGTACTGCCGTCACTGCCTCATCTACATCGGCATTAAATACATTCTCTAAAATCCACTTCGAGTCACACTGCTCCACCCTCATAAGAAGATCCTTAAAGGAGTATTGGCAATGGTCCTTGTTCTGTAGTTTAGGTCCTGGACGACTAGCCTGTCTGTCCGTGGAGTGGATTCCCTCTCTCTATGTAGGGTCTTCCGAAGGTTTCTCACTTTTTTCCCCACGGGGTTTTGTGAGTTTTCCTTGCCATGCAGGAGGGTCTGGACAGTTAGTGTCCAACTAGAAGGCCCGTGGTGATGATCCAGGATACTTTAACATTCTACAACATCTATGGACATTTTATCAACATTTATAGACTATAATTACTCCTTAAACAATCCCTCGACAACCCCCTGGTCTGAACAAATTCAAAACCTCTGCTCCCTGCATGTAACCTCTCTTCCTTTCTCTACACCCGCCACTCCTTCCGGATAGGAGCAGCCACTTGGACTGCTGCCCTGGGACTCCCTCAATCATCTCTCCAGGAGCTCGGTCCCCGGTTCTCTACCACATTCATCCGTTCTGGCAGCCCAGCGCCTCCTCTCATATAAGTACGTATGCATCTCCTGGTGGTGGCAACTCCTCATTTCCAGCATGCCGCGCACTCGAGCCGAGCTCGTGCGCGTGCCAACGCCTAGCGCTAGAGCCGAGCTCGCGCACGGACATTACGCCGCGCACTCGAGCCGAGCTCGTGCGCGTGCCAACGCCTAGCGTTAGAGCCGAGCTCGCGCACGGACATTACGCCGCGCACTTGAGCCGAGCTCGTGCGCGTGCCAACGCCTAGCGCTAGAGCCGAGCTCGCGCACGGACATTACGCCGCGCACTTGAGCCGAGCTCGTGCGCGTGCCAACGCCTAGCGCTAGAGCCGAGCTCGCGCCCGGGCATTACGCCGCGCACTTGAGCCGAGCTCGTGCGCGTGCCAACGCCTAGCGCCAGAGCCGAGCTCGCGCACGGAAACAGTCACTCACACCATGCGCCTTCCATAAACGCAGCAACCAAGTCATGGCAAACGCAATCGCTAGCCAAGCTCTCTTTTTGGGGATCATGATCTGCACCCAGGCGCAGATCTCTCCAGAGCACGGCCACAGCCGGGGCCTAAGCTCCAAACCAATAAACAAACTCAATCCATAAAATAAACAACTCTTAAACGCATCTCGTCTCTTGTAGTCTCTCCAGGTTGAAATGGAGCTTAAGCGGAGGTTCAGTATGGTAGACTACCTACGTTATCACACCAGGCTTGACCACGCCTTACTCAGCCTGTCTTAATCAACTCCCCGCAGCCGTGTCAATCAAGCCAGCGTTTAAGAGCAAAGCAGAGCACAGCTCACCAAACGGACTTCAAGCTGCAACCACCTCCTCCCCACCTCCGCCTCAGGATTTCTTCACTCTCACATTCACCTTGCCTTGTTGCCACCACCAGTGTCTAGGCCCCGGGGGATCATGATCTGCACCCAGGCGCAGATCTCTCCAGAGCACGGCCACAGCCGGGGCCTAAGCTCCAAACCAATAAACAAACTCAATCCATAAAATAAACAACTCTTAAACGCATCTCGTCTCTTGTAGTCTCTCCAGGTTGAAATATAAATAAGTAGCTAGCCATGTGTTACTCGCCTGGCCACACTATAGTGAAGGCCACATACTGTATAAGTCCATGGTGTAGCTCCGCCCAATAAACAATCAATCAACACGTTTAAATGTTAATCAGATGATACATTATACATATACCATACATTCTTAATTCACAGGCACAGAGGTTTTCAGAATGATCTGTTAACGTTTTCATACTGTTTTAATGTGACAAAATGCAATTGTAGTAAACCTGGAAAACTGGTAATTAACAATAATACAAAAAATGGGATGCATTTGCAGAGGATCCGATCATGGATTTAGATTGAGAATATACTGTATATAGGTCACACGCTGATGTTTGAATTCTTTGTTCAGTTTTCATGTAGTTTGAGTTCCTTCGCGTCCGGTTCGCCATGTCAATACTTATTTTCCGATAATGACCTGCGTTCTATACCTTATTCTTTACTTATTTTGATTAAAAGCATTTAGTTAAGCTTTGAATGGCCTAATAAATTGACATTATATGATAAAAGTAGGTTTGACCAAGCAAAGATTCCACCATTCAACAACTCTGTGATGCCCTTCTAGACTGTGACTGCTGTTGTAATTTTGGGTGCTACAAACATATATTGATTTGATGGAAATAAATCAAGTTAATGCTGCTCAAGATTCCATTGCAAACCTTAAAAACAAACAAAATGCAGTTTACTCACTACGGTTGGCCACATGTTGAAGTCATAAGTCAGGATTTAGGACTCGCAAGGACTGAATGCAAGTCAGAAGTGCTACAGCGAGGGGAGAGGAGGTGATAACTCTTGTTAAATGAGGCGATAAATTCTAATTGGACCTAAATGAAAGTCCTGAATCTGCTGAACAATTGAGACCATTTGTTACAGTGAAAATGCAGCAGGACTAAGACAACATCTGGCCTTCTCCTGCCCTGGCAGCACGGATGACACAATAAACAGGAAGGACAAACCAACACGTTAATATGTGTGTGAATTCTTTGACTTACTCTTAGGCCAATGACAGTCTCCAGATAAACAATAACAATATCAATGGATTAGTTTTAGATAAAGCTTTTTTGGACACTCAAAGATGTTTCACATGTCATTATTCATTCACTCTATACACAGTGGTGATAAACTACTGCCATAGCCACAGCTGCCCTGAGGCACACGGACAGAAGCGAGGCAACCAGTATGTGCCATGAGCCCTTCCGAGCACCACCACTCATTCCCACACACACCAGACTCATTATAGGCAATGTGGGTGAAGTGTCTTGCCTAAGGAAAGGAAGGTTTCTCACCCATCATCTGTACTTCTTAGCAAGTTTTCCCGACGTTTCGTCCTCAACCTAGCGGACTTCTTCAGGGAATGAATTCTCGGACCGCGCGTTGGAGATTTATAACCTATGGGTGTGGTTAGCCACACCCTAATCCTGATACTAACTTATAAATCTCCAACGCGCGGTCCGAGAATTCATTCCCTGAAGAAGTCCGCTAGGTTGAGGACGAAACGTCGGGAAAACTTGCTAAGAAGTACAGATGATGGGTGAGAAACCTTCCTTTGCTTTGACTAATCCCTGTACGACTGAGAGCTTACACAAACTTGCCTAAGGACACAACAACAGTGTGGCCCTTTACAGCCTCAGCCTCTCCACTGTAGCACCTGGTGTTCCCAGAGGTCTCCCATCACCACATAAACTGGTTTTATGCTGTGATTCATCAAATTACTGACAATGGTCTACGTATATGGTAATTGGTGAGAGATGACCATTAGTGAGATAGCTTATTAGTGTGCTTTCAAGACCACATTAAATAATGTGTTATTCTAAAGAAGTGAATGTGAAAATACTTAAATAATGCACTTGTTATTATTATGTGTTCTTTATTTATTATGTAATCATTGGTTTGGATTTGGAATGTTTTTG